GAGTGAGTGAATGAGTTAATGAGTGGATAGTGAATGAATGAGGAATGATTGAATCCTTTTGCTGACATACGATCAATCAAATAGAAAACAAAGTGACAGTGAATGCGACTAAATCTATTAATATAAACACGGGGGTCCATAATTTTAACCTACTTAAATCTAATAACAAAAAATATAATAAGTAAATGTGAATGTTTTATAACATGTGCATTCTTTACTATGATCTTATTCGTGCTACCATCAACTACTATAAAGAGAAAGTCCGTCTACAAATACAGTATGAAAGCGGTATCAAAACATGGTAACACTACAAAATTCACTAATCCCTATATTCGGACTATTTTAAACCATGTCTGTGTTGTACTCGAAACTTATACTAGCTTGAAATAATGTGAAACTATTGTTTATATTTAAAGTGCGAATTCATTACTTATAAATATTGTGGCTAAATAGAATAGAATTGTATAGAAATTGTATAGTGCGCCATGGGTTGTATACCGTAACCTCAGCACAAGTTACAAACTATTTACGGAGCGTTTATAGTTTTTTATTCATAAAATATTCTGTTATATGCGAAGATTTATGAACGAGTAACTAGATACGCTCCGTAAGTAGTTTGAGCTTACAAACTTGTACTAATGGCACAGCCTGATAGTATATTACCGACCAGAACAACCGATGCACAGACGGGTATTTTAATTATCTACGCGGCCAAAAGTCAAAATAACAAAGTTACAAAAATGCTACCGCATTCGACTACCTAATGCAGGGGACACTCCAACGAACAATAGGCCGCCGTCCCCGCCCCTCTCCCGTTGCGCGTTATCTGGCAAACTCAGTCGGAATTTGATCATCGAACTTTGTGCATTTGTCAGTTATCGGCGATTTATAGAAAGCATTAAAATTGTGAGCTAAACTGCAGTTTTCTGTGTTAACCTGGTGCAAAGAAGCAATGGATTCGGAGACTACAGGTATGTGACAATCTAAATGTTATATAATAAATAAAATTTAATTTTGTTTCATATATTTTTAGTGACCGAGGAATAATGTCTAAAATGAGAAGATTTTTTAAAGAAATTTTATCTTTAAAGATGTATTTGTTTTAGTATCGGGGTAGATCCGGCTTTTTTTGTCATTCATATTTAAAAAGTAGATTCTTAAGTAACGAATCCTATATAAATTAGCCGCGGAATAGCGCAGATACGTTAAAGCAGAGTACTTTGATTTTTTACAGTCGAAATTAGTGAAATAGTAATTTATGTTTAAATTTTGTTTTAGGTTCAGAGGGTTCCTCTGGAGTGAGAATAGTGACTCGTAAATCACTCTTCGATAAGATGAAGAATGAAAATTTACGTAATTTAGAAGAAAAGCTATGTTTTTTGAGAGACCACCTTTTAACTCAAGACAACCTTAGTGAAAGTCAGTTAAATAAACTGAAACGCAATTTTTCACATTTCAAATCAGAAATGAAGCAAAGGTGGATTAAATCGCACAAAAAAGAAGAGGTTTTCTTAACAAACAACCATCTTTGGCTGGAAGGCAATTTCGAAATTCCAGTCACAACTAAAAATCGTCAAGGTCGCCCTCGTAAATCATTTGGTGAATCTAGCGAAAGGAGCAAAAGAAGAAAAACTGAAGAGATCCGCTCCAATGTAGAAGATGGTGTTATAGTTCACGCAGCTCAAGTTGAACTGAGAAAATCGGGAAAACGTGATGCTTCCCGCGTTCTCCAAGATATAACAAGCTCTCCGACGCGTGCAACGAAGTACAAAAAAGCTTTCGATACCTCTAAGTGTGGAAAATCATCGCGTCTAACCCCCATGGAAGCTTTAAAAATGTTTATAGATGCAGATTTAACACGAGCACAGTATGAAGTTATAAGAAACACGAACAAGAAGTTTTTCCCGTGTTATAGCCTAATTCAAGAAGCCAAAAAGAAATGTTATCCTCCTCCAGAAACGATCACGATAACGAGTACCTGCGCGGAAACCCAACTGCAACCATTAATTGATATTACTGTTAAGCGCTTATCGGAATTCTTAGAAGAAGTCTTATTGACAATAAAAGAGCAAGAGCGGAACACTTTGAAGTTGATATGTAAATGGGGCTGCGATGGATCCCAACAAGCACAGTACAAACAAAAACTTCAAAATGAGGCTGACTCTGATGCAAATATTTTTCAAAGCTGCTTTGTACCTGTGCGACTTATTTGCGGTAAGGACAATCAAAAGGTGTTATGGGAAAATCCAACACCTTCATCTGCCCGATTTTGTCGTCCAATAAGATTTCGCTTCGTCAAAGAGACAACTGATGTAACAAATGCAGAGATCAATTATGTTAAAAATTCCATTAATAATTTGGTTGCGACTGAGGTGGATATTGACGGAGAAAAGTTTTTGGTGCATTCCCAATTTGTAATGACAATGGTAGATGGAAAGGTTTGCAACGCAGCTACTGGAACAACATCTACAAGTCGTTGCTATATTTGTGGGAAAACTTCCAAAGAATTCAACAATTTAAAGGACAAAAAGAGAATTTCAAAGGATGCTACTGAATTCGGTCTTTCTATTTTACATGCGAGAATACGATTTTTTGAAAGCATTCTACACTTAGCGTATAAATTGCCTGTGAAAAAGTACCGGCAGAGAAAATCAGAGGAGGAAAAAACAAATTGAGATGAATAAGAAAATCGAAATACAGACCAGGTTCCGCAATGAAACTGGCTTATTAGTTGACATGCCGAAAGCAAACTTCGGAAACACTAATGACGGCAACACCAGCAGGAGATTTTTTGAAGATCCGAAACTATCCTCAGATATTACAGGAATAGATTACGAGTTGATATATAGATTAAAAGTGATTTTGGAAACGATTTCGAGCGGATACGAAATAAATTTAGAAAAATATGAAAAATATGCAGAAGAAACTGCTTTCTTGTACGTAAAACTTTACCCGTGGCACCCAATGACACCCACACTGCACAAAGTACTTGTGCACGGATCGGATATAATAAAAAATACATTGTTACCCATAGGGCAACTATCTGAAGAAGCAGCAGAGGCACGCAACAAGCATTTTAGGTCATACAGACAGGATTACTCACGAAAATTCTCTAGAGAGTCCTGTAATAGAGACATTTTGAATAGGCTACTTTTAAGCTCAGATCCCTTTTTTAGTGCCTCAAGGGTAATAAAGAAAAATAAGAAGTCTTCTTTTCTTCCTGAAACATTGAATATGCTTGTATCTGCAACACCAAATCCAGAAGACGCGCACGCACTTAAATCAGAAAGTGAGGATGAGATAAACTGATTATTCATTAATTTAATTAATAATAATAAATATTTCTAGACATGCCACACTATCTATAAATACTTGTAGCTATGAAGTAAAATTAATGGAATCATATGTGTCATAAGGGGCCATCCATAAAGTACGTCACACGAATTTAATAATTTTTTGACCCCCCCTTCCCTTCCTTGTCACAGGTGGTCACATTTCTGAGACCCCCCTCCTCCCTAGTGTGACATCACATGTTTTGCAATTTCACATCGAAAAATTATTAAATTAAAACTGCAGTTCCGAATTTAGTTTTATTTCCATTTAAATGACTTTTTTCTGTCTTTCCGCTGCGCTAATCTTTCGCTTTAATATATTTTTTCCTGCTCAATACTTTTCTTCAAAGTTGAGATTTTTTTGTTATTGCTTCATTTGAGGCTATACCAGCATCGCGTGCTAACAACAAGCTAACTACCTCTAGATATAATAGATTTGGAAATGTAGTATATATAACTATGTCACACTTTGTCGACCCCCCCTCCCCCCTTTACGTGTGACATACTTTATGGATGACCCCTAATCATCATTATATAATATCAATGTAGACATGTGAATCACATTTTTTAATTGTGGTTTTTGTTTTTTTCTCTATTTATGGAAATTATAAAAAAATAAACATTATTTATAACCGTTTTAATTACGCTTGTTTTATTTCCGTCATTAGCAACTCAAAAAACTAAACAAATGTTTTTGGCCAGCTAGATTAACTAAATACCCCTATGTGCGATGACTCACACGTGAAATTCTTAAGGAAAATCAACCTTATTGCGTCACAGCAGAGTCCATGGTCGCGACGATAGTAATGAACGTTAACAATTCACTCACAAATTGTTTTATTTAAGGTAATTGTCATTATAGTACATTCGACCTCATTTGTATACATGAATAAAATTAATTATTTGGCATTTACAAAGCATGGTTACTTACAATTAAAATAAATAAATTGAAAAGCTCAAACTTTAGGCCTTTATATATGTTTGAATGAAAATGATTATACAGAGCAAAAATTATTAATGTAACTATAAAATAATAAATATTTGGTTCATATATTTATCTGCGGCCGTCTTGACCTTGGTTATAGTTTATCATGATTCATATGCGTCATCGTAATCTATATTATATGCGTATGTTTTATACAACTAATATTGTTTATATGAATGAGTAAATAATTATACTGTATAAACAAAACTACGTGATACACAAATTATTATAATAATAAATATTAATATTATCGTTGAACTTATTTATAATCACATACATTTACGTCGCAGGTTGCTGTGGTTTCGGGACTAGTATAGATATTAGGGGAGGACGTTAAAGTCTCAAGATTGGTTGGTTTATATATAATTTTGAATGACTAAATGGTAGCATTCAATTAAGATCCTGAGTACAACGTCGCACTCACACATGTGAGTTAACTTAATTTGCAAGCCCCTTTTGAAATAATCGCTAACATTACATACGTACATACTAAAAATTTTCTTTGGTATCATTTACTGGTTACTAAAACTATACATACAAAAAACTGCTGCTATATTACGTAAGTATCAAAAAGAACTGGACACAACTCGACGTTGGCGTCATTATGTACAGTTGTCACCAACATTTTCTCATTAACAATTCTAATGTATGATAAGTATGTTACTGTACTCAATGTGATTTCTTCATAGCATAACAGCTGGCAGTGGTGTGGAGAGTGCCATATGTTCTGCACCCCTGACCGGGAGTCTCTGGGCTGTGACGTAATGTCTCATGAGAGCCGGAACAGTAGGGAAGGCGGTAGTCGCACCTCCCAAAGTATAACCTTCACCTCCACGACATATACGCATATGCATAAACCCACGTGTCGATCTAGAAACATTAATATAATATATTAATTACACGTACATACAAAATTCAATATTATAGAAATCTTTTTTGACATATATAAGCTTTGTAATGTATAAAAATAATGTTAAATATATGTTTATATGTTTTTAACTCTTTTGTTTTTGTTTACTTTTAATTTTAATTCAATTTTTTTTGTGTCTTGGCTTTAAGTTGAAACTTGATTGATTTATGTTTTTTTGTTGTTGTTTTTATTTTTATAATACAGTGTTTCTTAATTGTTTGTTACCCAAATAAAATAAAATAAAATAAAATAAAATAAAAATAAATATTTTTAAAACTCACTTTAAGCTAAGAGAGTAGTCGTGTTTCGCGGATTCACTGTTTCTTACAAGAAAAGCTCCTTCGTCCGCGTCTCTCAGTAAACCCTCAGCTTCCAAACGCGACAACGTTCCATGATACCACCTGTAATGATAATAATATTATATAAAAAACTGCTCTATTTTCAATATATAAAGTATTCAAAACCAGCTAAAAATTTAAGGAATATATTATTTAATAATGAGGTCCAAAAAGACTTTCGTAAAAATTTATTAACTATTTCAATTTGCTATAATGAAATTATCGTTACTTACCCTTGACGGTCAAGTGGAAGAGAGGCATCAATCAAGTCTCGTGGCGGCGCTATCGGTCCCAGATTCAAATGTAACCCTTTCGTACTACCACTGCCACTCTCGAAGTTCAAAGTCAATTTATCACGATGTTTCTTATCTAAAAAAGAATATATTGCCAGATGAAAAACTATTACTATCTAAATCATCTTAAGTTCACAAATTGAAGGTAGCATGCAGGAAAAAGTTCCTACGTAAAGCACTCAAGTAAATTAAATATTGGGAGGGCGTTGTAGCAGTTTGAACGGCCTGAAGTCATACGTCTTGATCGGCATAATTTTGTTCGAGTCACATCGGATTACTAAGAGATATTCAACAACGAAAGAAATAAAATGCGACAGTCCCTTCTTAGATTTGCTTTTTGTATAACTACCTTCGTAAATGATTTGGACATTAGACAAATGAACTCTGACATAATTCAATAGATCGTAACTTAATATAGAGTAAGTTTTATTAACTAACCTTGATTCAAGTCTTGTACGCTTTGACTGGATGAAGCATTAGAGATAGCTTCGCCGAAGTCACTATTTAATTGTAAAGATTGTCCGCGGAGTTTACGTCTTAGTTTAGGCATATCGAAGGGCAAAGATCTAAGGTCGACCTCAGCCTCTGCCCTGCGTCTTCGCAGTTTCGGCATATCAAATGGAAGATCAGACAAATCAACATCTTCATCTTTTCTTTCTTCTTCGGTGTTGCTGTTCTTGAAGTTAACGAATGCATTCCTCGAATCAACTCCTTCTCTTGAATGTATTGATATTCCACTATCCGATCCTTGGATTTCCGTATCGCCAGGAGTCGAATGTCTGAACGTTAGGTTTAACAAATTTCTATTCTGTAAAGCACGTCTTTTAGGTTTGGGTAAAATTTCGACTGTTGTCTGCATTGTGACATTGCCAGTATCGGCGTCTTCAGGTGATACTTTCTGTGAATTGTTATTCTTGTTATTATCAGATGTTTCAGAAGCCGGTTCTTGAGAAGATTTATCTGATATAGGACTTAATATATGTAGTTTATTCGGATGATGCCCAAACCCCGATAGTTGCATGTGATGTGACTTAACAAATGGCACATTACCAGAATCCGAGCTGTGTGAACTCAAAGACGATGAGTGTCTACTCTCTGAGCTACTACTACTTCTATCTCCCTCACTATTGCTACTTCGCAGTGATTCCATACTTCCACCACTACTGCTGGTAGCCATACTCTCTGTGCTCGAATATTTCCGCCGTGGACGTGCAACACCGGGCCTACCTTTGAACTCCATTATAGGGCCGACCCCTTTAGGGCCCTTATATCGATTCATTTCAGGTGTATCAGAATCGGAAGTGGGTCGACCCTTAATCTCTAAAAAAATACCGTCTTTAGATTGTACCCTCTCATCGTCACCATCACGTGACTCGCGGCTCGAGTCCCTGAGTCGCTGTCCAACGTCAAGTTCAGTTGACACAGAAGCTTTCACATCAGTCAAACTCGCATCACTACTGGTTGGAGTCTCACGAGCTCTTAGTGATTTAACAGGTAACCGCAAATCTTTAAGGCGGGGATGTGATGGCTGGGTTTGTGGTAAATTTGGAGCACTTTTAATACTGTTCATAGCAGACCCATCCTTTTGCTGGAATTTCGTGGGTAATGGTGCCGTAGAAGGCGGCGATGGAGTGTAACCACGCAATGGAAGTTGAGATGTTGAAGTACGATCTTCTTCTTCAATGTGTACTTTTTCTAGCTCTTCTGATAATGCTGAAGCATTACTTTCATTCTCTCTCTTTTGTCGTATCGTAGGAATTTTAGAGCGTCGTACGCTGTCAGTTTTCATGGTAACTTTACGCCGACCTTTGTAATCAGGTTCACTCCTCTCAACAGCCTCAAACGCTGATGACGCAGAAGAAACAACTTTTCGTTCTTCCGCTTGCAGTAAGGCCGGATGATTACTGACGCGATCAAAGTCGTCCAAGTCATCATCGGAGCGGGCTATTTTACAGTCAAAGGCTGTTTCGTATATCTGTCGAGTCGTCATTTCTTGAGGCCAGCGTGGCAATGGCGCCGGCACGTAGAACACACTTCTCGAGGACCTATGCTCCTCTACATCTTCGGGCGCGGCGCATGCGCAGCCGGCCGCGTCGCGCCCGCGGCGCCTCGGCGGCATCCACGCGCTCTCACCGGACGATGATGACGACCGCTCTAATTCACGAAAGCCATCTTCAGCCACGGAGAACCTTTTCGGTAGATTTGGTCTCTGTGCGACGTGTGGAGCGTCGAGACTCGCAGATTTCCTGTAGCGAGGGCCGCGTGATGAAGATGTTGATGATACAGTTGGCGCTGAAGGAGCCGGAGGTGGCGGCGCTGATTTAAACAGGTCGCCGTAGTAATAAGGGCTTGGGTTTCGTCTGGGTGCGTTCGCGTATCTCGGGTCAGAACGTCCACTGTCCGGTGAGTGTAATGAAGGTGCTGTAGCGAACGGATCTAGTTCACCGAACTCGTCTTCCTCCTCAGTTGATGATGATCGATCTTCTGAAGATGATTCTAAAACAAAATTGCTTAATTATGTATTGTAAAATATTTGATTGAACCATATCTATATATACTATTGTTTCAAACGTTTACAAAACATATATTTAAATTTAAATCTTTTCTTAGATGAAAGTCACGAATAAGGACCGAGTTCGTAACATTCTACAAGTCTCAGACCGCTGTTAGTCTCAAGTGGCGTCGTTTAAATGAACATTCAAATTATATTTTGACTACGAATTTCTTTAACTTTAAAACCATAACTTTGAAGAAAACAAAACATCAACCATTAATTTACACATTTTGAAAACCACATATTTTATTTTGGATATGTATAAGGTCATAAATTTAAAATTATTTATATTAATAATGAATTAAAACACATTTTTTAAAAGCCAATTTTGCATTACTTTCGTTTAAACGAAGCACCCTTATTACGCTAGGTTAATGAATGCGATAAATCCCCTTTAACTCGTGCATACGATGCTAATGTTATTTCAAAGGCACGTAGAAATACCCTAATGAGAATTCCTTGCCTGCATAACAAAGGCATCCTTCTGAATGCATGTCGAACACAAAAAGTTTGGATTTGAAACTTCAGGATGTGACATACGGCTAGGTAGGGACTATTTAAGGCACACAAGACGATTTTTTTTAGCCATGCAACATACATCAATACATATTTCATTGTTAATAGAATGTATATAAGCGTAGCAAAACATTGTAAATTGTCCATTCAGTATAGGGGTTGTAAAGTGACGTCATTAGGTGACGTAATTGCTTTTCCACGTGAGTGGACATGAACCCCTGAGCATCAAATTTTGTTGAATTGCTGCGATTAAAGTGTTAAATGTCTTTTTGAAGCATTAGAAAATTTAATGTCAAGAATATCGACTTCAATTAAATAAGTTTCAAACAGTTTAAATGTTTAAGTTCAACTATTATATTATTGCTATTCTTATTATTTATTGGATAGTTATTCCAGATAAATCAATAAAGTAAATGAATTGGTTGTATTAATCAGAATAAAAGAGAATTTCTTTTCATAGACAAACGACATCGCAATCAAAAAGCCTCTGTTTATTACGTCGGGACATTTTTCCCAGTCTAGACGGACGAACTAACAGAAAAAGGGCTGATTAAAAGTTGCTATTGTTGCTGATGTAGTGCGGGTATTATTTCATCCAGCGTAATTGTTTGTACCAAATTTCAAGCTATTGAATATCTATAGGCCGACTATTTTTACCTTCAATTTTAGATTTGACTGTGATTTCGTAGTTCGACATTCTTTGAATATAAAGAAAATCTACATAAATAGCATAATCATGCAACAGCATTGTCTGACTTATAAGTATTCTGTTACAATTTCCGAGGTAGCTCTCCAGTTGTTCTGACACAGTTTACATTCTAAAAAATGAAACGTGAACGAGTTAATTAACCCACCCCGAGAATATGTGTAACGAGGAATGGCGTGCGAGTTGTTTTCTTTTCATTTTTGTGGCAAACGGACAGGATTAGATACAATCTCTAGACCCGAGAACAATGCCTTAACAAGTCTCTAGCGCGATTGTTATGACAAAGAAGCGGCTTTGTGCGTTCTTTGGAAATGAGCTGGAGTGTTATATGTTGGTTGTGTGAAAGCAAACCAAAAAAATAGACACGATATTTGCTTTCTCTATTTCGTAATCTCATCGGTTGAATTAGACATTTGAAACAACTTAAATTATAATTATATTGAAATAAAATCATAATGAACTACTTACCAGATTCGTAATATGGTTGTGATCGGTGTCGTGAATGTCTTTCTTGTCGTAGAGGAGCGGAAGGAGCTGGTTCTGGGGGCGAGTCTGCTGAACCTTCTGGCGCACTCTCTGGACTCCTCCTAGAGACCTCAGGAGCGGATAAATCAAAGTCGGTCCTTCGAGCTGATTCGTAATCCGCACGCCGACGGGCTGATTCCGCGTCAAACGCTGGTCGTCTCCCCGAATCTGCGTCGTATTCTCTTCCGAAATACTTCCTAGATTCGTACTCGTACGGTCGTCGTGTATCAAAGTCGTAGTTATGGCGACGGGAATCGTAACGCCATCGGGATGTATCTGGCGAACGACGCGGTTCCCTCGAGCGACGACTACGCTGTGGTGATCTTCTCGCTGTGTCGCGTGGTGTGCAATAAGCTTCTATAAATTCAACCTGAAACAAATAGCAATGAATCAGTACTATTCTTAATAACAATTATGTCAATGTTTAACTTAGTAATTACGATTCAAATATCGGTTGCGATGACTATTTTCGGTGTTGAAGGTACGTGATGACCGCGTAATATGTATAAACTGGCTATTAGCATTGGAGAAGCCCTTCATCATGAAGGTCGATTATGTGGCAGAGTAAAGTGGTAATAAAATGCAGCGGCCACATATCCGGCGACCGTAACGGTCGGTTAGACGTTCCTTCCCCTCGACGGGGTGTCATTACTGGGGACCGTTTCTGTTTATGAGAAGGGTCATAAAGAATATTATGAGATATTGTGCTTGCTTTGACGATGCGATGAGGTGATAACATTCAAGGGACAAGCCAAATTTAGTCCTGGATGTAGTTTTTTATTGTAAGCGGCAGTGGGGCTTTTAAAAATAATGTCTCGTATTGAAATTCACAACACATTGACATTAATATCTTTGTGAATCTGATCAATTGTAACCCTAATATATATATACATATGTATATATATTTGCAGCTTGGAAATTATTTCTTGCGATCCTTGCTGTAATTAAGTAGATATCCAAAATGAAATTTAAATACGAGTCAGTTTTGTAAAACAAACACCTCGGTAACTTCAAAACAATGGTTAATGCGACATACTCATTAGAAAGTATCGGATTTACTTAATACAGTAAAGGTGGTTCAAGCTATTAGAGACGCTGATGAGTTCCCACTTCCGCGCCTCCGGGCCGAGGGTCCTAAGCTCTCATTAAGGGTGAATTTAGGATTCGAGAGCGTTTAATCACGAGAAATGTTTACGCAAGCAAAAGTTCACGAAACGACTTGAACTAGCAAATGCAAGTAACCACTTAATATCTTACAAATGGACACAGCACATAAATAAACGTATTAAGCGAGATTTTTGAATGTAATAACAATTATTTTTCTCTTCTTAACCTACTATATATGTATGATAGTATAAGAAATTAAAAGCACAGACAATTATTACAAGGCGAGGGCCTTGAAAAAAAAGAGGAGCGCGTACCGGTTTCGAAGCTGGCCCGAGGCCTGTTCTTTATTCAAACTTTTACCATTGAGTGAGGCTGGGGATAGCCTCATCTGGCGCATTGTTTAACGATTCCTTCTACGCATGAAAATTTATTTACATAATTAAACATCGGCTGCGCCACCCTCGTTTTGATTTGCGATGTCTACGAGATTTTCTACGCTATTTGCATATTTTGTTTCGCTTAATTAGATTTAGTTCCAAAGCTCTCCTTTAGTAATAACAAATAATGGGTATGAAAACATTTACAAATTATTTAACGCTCTATATAATGAGTCTACTAATTTATATCTACATATTAAAAATACAATGAAGGAACAGTTCAATTGTTTACACCTGTATTCTTATCAAAGTAATGACAATATTAAAATTAAATATTACATCCTACATAATCTTTCCTAAGGCCTCGGCCTCGAATCTCGCGGGTAGCGGGGCGGCAGCGGCGGCGGCACGGAAACGCATACTATTCTCCAAACTAGCGGGCAACGGGCACGGAGAAATGTATGCGTTTTCGTGCCGCCGCCGCTGCCGCCCCGCTACCCGCGAGATTCGAGGCCGAGGCCTAATTGTCTTTATGATGAGTTGGCATATATTTCAGAGTTGATAAACAATCATATGTTCAAATCTGATTAAATATATTTAACACGATGACTGTACAAGGAAAAAATATGCAAATTATTATTATTTTTAAAATAAAAGATTTTATATGCTCACTTAGTATATATCAATTATACATAGTCCATACGTATTGAGGTTGATAAAAGAACATTCGGTACGTTTTATTTACCCATTGAAATCAATTTTCTCATTGAATTGGAAGGGGTTAGCTAAAAGGGAATGAATTGAATCTGCTCAAGCACACATGTTCGTTGACTATTCATCAATTGTATCATATAATGGGGGACTAGGCTGCAGCTCACTTCCTCGACAATTACACGTATAAAACTAATAGCTTACTTCCTCTGAATGGCACAAGAACCAAGGCTGACGGACTAGTGTTCCGCAAACATATTTCCTTTAATGTAACGCGGACATTATCTGTCATGGATACTATAAAGTTTTTAAATTCTTTATCATCTTCACACACATTCAAACGGAGAAGACATTTATCTAAGTTGTAAATAATAAGGTTATATACTGAGTCATTCTGTGATAAGCAATGATAAAACGAGCATTAATTTTTTTACTTGTAATAATACAAAAATATTTAATATATATCAAATTAGTTTTCTTTTTATATAAAATAATGTTTATCATTAAAGCTACATATCAAATGACATATAAAATTTAAAGATAAAAACTCATAAGAAGCTTGAGTCATGATAAGATATTTGGGGTACAAAAAAGTAGTAAAAATACAAGCAATAGATAGTTAACATTAAAAATACATTTTGCAATTTCTAATATGATAATTTAAAATATAATTGCCGTGTGTGATTTCGTATACTTTGAATAACTGCCCGTTTTCATAATGTATTTATTCTGAATTGCCGATCAAAAGTCAATCAAACGAGTGAATAAGCAGAGCAAATGTATATTTTAGTGTAATATATAAGTAAATATAGATTATAACAGAGAAAGTATGATTCCGGGTTCACCCGCTATGAGTAATACCAGCATAAGGATGTGGGACAAGATGTTTCAGACGGTCGGTGAGTCAGCGGCGATTTATAAATACCGTAGACACGCCTCCTGGCCGGCCAGCCTAAAATAGTACAATGCAGTGTCGTATAACATAAACACTGAATGTTTCTTTGATCAGTCATCGGACATGGAAATGTTTATATAGACGATATTGCAGACATACCGGCGGATTGATGAAATAATTATATCGCAGATCCCTAATATATTCTTATATAATATAAAATATTTCGAGTAAAAAACATTGTCATTGTATCACTTTATCAAAAAATTTTAATTGTTTACAAATATTCCACTGTTTTGAATTTTATATCAACGATGTAAACATAGTCATCGACAGAGCTAACAAAAATATTTACAAAGCAATAATAGCTGCCTACGCTTGTAAACTAGAGGCAAGGAAACTTCCATAACGTTAAAGACAATTGAAACTGAAAAGCCAAAGTTAATTATTTAAAGTAAATACTATGACAGTATTGAAATTCTCTCCTCGTTTTCCACAATTGGTTCGGTCAACTCTGCTTTGTGAACCACTGTCTAGTCACGTTCTGCAAACCCGACACAGCAAACAGGTTCTATACAGTATGAAACAGTGTCTTTTATTTTCACTTTCATAAGTTCGGTACGTGCTTCCCAATCATTAGCAAGTTTTGGCTCAAAGCCCTAACTAATTCCTTTCTATAATTTAGGAATTTATATATGTATAAAGCATAACTCCTTTGAGATACTCACCGTACATGAGTTCAGATGAATATTTATACGACTTAACTAATAACACGGACACTCTATATATGTTCTCGAAATAAATAAACAGAATTAATTAATTGTGTTCACTAAAAGAGCGTCTGGAGTCTTGAGGGCTAACGTGACTAAATTAGACACACAATTGTCGCAAATGACAAAACAAGCGGAGAAGGGAAATAGGCTTAATTACGAAGTTACAAGTCCGTTGCCTGAAGGACCGGGACTGTCTTGAGTAGACCCTTAAATATTTCGATGAAGGACGCAATTACGGATTAAATTTACTTTATGTCATTAAGAGCAGTGCGTGATTTTCAGGTCACTTAAATAAATTGTTTATGTTTATAAATTTGAAAAATTTTCATCTCCTCTGCCCGTGATCACGGTTAACATATGGTAACCGAAACTTCGAGAGAAATTTTGGATATCATAATGAATCGCAATATCATAATAAATAGTATCCGAAAATTATAGTTTCATTAAGAAGTACATATTAGTAAGAATTGTAAGTTAGTATGTATTATTGCTTATTATAGCAGAGAAGTAATTATCTTAATAATGATTTCAAAGTACACACTATGTAACCAAGGAAGCATTATCTTCAAATTGATTGGACTATAAAAAGTTTCCAAACAAGAAGTAGGTACAATTCGATTTAAAGAATCGTAATTCAATATTTTACTACAAATAAAGATTGGCTGATACTACGATCGACAAGCAAAACTTTGCTTTTTCAACTTGTAACTAAGTTAAGCCAACCCCTGAGATCAAAAGTATTTTCCAATCAATATACTACTGCTGCCACGTAAATCTTATACGTTTTTCGATGTAGTCATGGTATAAAACGTAACCGATACATAAATTCCATAAAATCCTTACCGGTTTCACTATATGAATACACGTAAGATATAGCTACAAGTACATTTAGTAACTCCAATGTCATTTCTGACGTATTTGCGTTATTAGTGATGTTACTTTTGCTGTTTCAACAAATAGGATTAAACGTAAAGTATGTTCTTAAGACGATTTAAAAGTACTAAAAAGAGTTCCACCATCAAATCAGTCTAATAAATATATTTTCTGTAATAAACGTCAAATAATGGTCGAATGTAAATACAATTTCATGGGTTTTTTATTACACATACATTCTAAATCGTTGTATAAGTTCTTATATTATGTAGATGTAATATGTACGGTTACATAAGACGCTACTATGTAGTACAAACATATTATTAACTAAAATACTATGAGAAAATCAATCCAAGAAATTCTATACAAAAGTAATATATTAAAATTTATGTTTAATACGTACCACATGGACAACCAAAATCCACTGGGCTATTTGTTTCATTTTGGCCATTAACTTTTTATTTGAAGGCATTGTCACTATCACTAATACCTATAGGTATGTACAGAAATTACAAATATGTACCACAAAGATCATCAACTTTATCGACCGTTTCACTAGTGACACGCACACTTAAACTATATAACTAGAACTAACACACTTTCACAAAGAGTTCTTGTTTCAAAAGCATTAAATATTTAATAGTTCCTTATCCCGTCTAAGTCTTGTTTAGGTCTAGGCGTTTGGCAGTAAAAACCTGCGATATGAACGCCTTAAACGGATCTGTTGCCTGCTTGACGAGTTCACTGTAGACTGACAACACAGCTCAAACACTATACGCGAATGTGTAAAACGGTGACTCATCGCCCCGCATACTGTTTACCGAGGCTTGAGTCATCGCAGTGGAATAAACCAATCAGCGATACAGCGCTTGGTAGGGAGTTATTTAAAATACCGGTTACAATGAACACAATATCGAAAGCGCTAGAGTGCTTTATTGTATAAAAAACACTCCATTAATACCTCGATTCCGCACGTGTCCTTAAGTATAATACGCCACTGTGAACTTTATTACTTTTAAACAAAGCATAAATTAGAATGTTTTTAATTTAACTGAGTATAGCTAACTTTTGCGTTAGGATTTTGACTTGTTATGTTGCATTACAGGCTCGACTAGGTCGAATGCCGTTTTGAGGTCGTTTACGTTGAGAAGTATCTACATCAAAGATAAAGAGAAAGGTGAGTAATTCAGCGCCATGAGGAATGCCTACCGTCTTTGAATTCATAATGACTGTATTTGCGAAACGGATTGCAAATAAATTCGAAAATAATCATTATATTAAGATATATTAGATTGGACCTTACATTTACTTTTGTTTTGTTTTGTCAGTTTTAAATACTTTTTATCATATGTCTTAAATTAACGGAATAGATGAACCCTAGACAGTTCGTGTACATAAAGTACATACTTACATTTTTAAACTATTATTATTAGTGCACTGAAATGAGTAAAATTGTGGCAGATAGCTTATACTTAATAACTATGTAAATCTTGACATTATTTTTTTTCATCCATCGAAATTTCCAAAACATAACTTCCTTGCCGATTGTTTTTGAAATCGTAGTTGACCTTGAAATTGAACTTTGAAGATAATATGTTCTTACTTATTACTAATTCGAATTAATTGTGTAAATGCCATAAAATTGTTTTTGTATATAAAATTCCCTTACAAAATTTTTCATGTAAAGAACAAAAATTTATTATAGTTATAAATGTAAACAAGACAAAGTAGTAGGTATATAAAATATTATATAATAAGAGATCAGAGGTGTCTTGGCTTTATAAGTATAACTATAGTTACATAATTACGACACTTAAATAAAAAAAATACTCATTTTATAGGTACATAGATACAAAAATTAATAAATAATTTTCTTTTTTAAATGTATATGACATGTATAGCTCAACGCAACCGTTTTCGAAAAGTCTAATGTTACAGATATAAAGATATTACGATAAACTGAAATAAAAACGTAGAAATATTTGATTTAAATTCAAGGTAATACTTTAAATACGTCAATGACGTTTATACATATATTTTCATAAAAAAAATTTGAACATCAGTCAGTCGCTATGTTGTGAAATGTGTAGGTAGTTGGCAAATCAAAAGATGAACGAGTCGCCGGGTGAATGCACTTAGTTAGTTTTAACCGGTGACGCCATGCTACATAACTATAGATACCTACACTGAAAGACATTTGAATGTTATTTATTAAATGACGCATATAAATATTTAGACGCCATCTTTTATGACATTTTTTATTTACTAAAAATATTACGTGCGTTGCATCTTTTGTCAGCAAATATGAAGTCAAGTAATGTTTTCTATTTTCGTAACATAACATAACATATATATTAGAACTAGCTTTCCGCCCGCAGCTTCGCCGCGTGGAGTTCGGTTATATCGCGTTTCCAAGAGAACCTTTCAAAAGTCTGGGATAAAAACTATCCTATGTTCTTTCTCAAGGTCAACTCTATCTCTGTACCGAATTTCATTAAAATCAGTTCAGTGGTTTAGGCGTGAAAGCGTAGCAGACAGACAGACAGACAGACAGACAGACAGACAGAGTTACTTTCGCATTTATAATATTAGTAGGGATTCTATACCAATTATAGATAGTAAGTTGAATGGACTATTTCATTACGAAAGATTATATACATAACTTCTGTGCTAGTATGAGTTTAGCGCATGTCACAGCCACTTTACTGGCCCTATACATCATACTAATAAAGCTATATGCCAACTTTAATGTTCTTTTAAAAGATTGATAACTGATTCACAACTATTTACGATGTTCAGAAATTATTTAAAACGTGTAATTTGAATTAACTACGCGCATTTAGCGCAAGGACGAAATACACGAGTGACTCAGACCGTCATTGCCAAACTGTTGCCCGATAAATTCCTAACAAAACACTGATATGATAAATTTGATTAAGAAATTATTTATGTTATTAGTATTATTATTATTATATATTTGATTTAAATTATGATTAATTTCAGTTATATACGGATTGGTTTAAAAATAATAATGACTTAAATGTAAATGAAAATACTCTGCATTTCCTACAACCCTAAAACTTTTTGGATGTGCTATTTATTATTAGATAAATCTATATTGAAAAAAATATTGTGTTTCTTAAAATTTTCTTTATTTTATAATACGTTACAAAATAACATTATTACATATAATTAAAAATCTCGTATTAATTTTATTTAATAAAGTCACGATACCCGCATCAAAGATACATTCATTGCTACATCGTGCTGGTTATTAGCACTTTGTATGTAAGTGCACTTATTTGATAACCTTTTTAAGCTTCACGTGTTATCATGATAACAATTAGTCACATGGATAATGACTCATCGGGCGAAATTAATCATATAATGTACCTTTGATATAAAAGTGTAACATTTCACATAAGGGCTGTACCAATCTTTTCAGAGATGACCAACATTTTTATGGAGATAAAGTCTTATTCTTATTTTTCATTTCGTCACGTATTCATAAGAAATTGTATTATTTATTCTTAGATACTTTACATTTTTACTGAAGTAATGTATATTATATTACGAAAGTATTTTTGGCCAAGTCATTGTATTATAAAATGACTCATTAGCCCCCGTGTTACCCTTAGGGTCATATGTTCTAACAGCTCACGTAAAATGACTCACTTTTCGATACAGGTGTTCCATATTCGACGAATGAAATTGCTTCCCCTGATGAATTGACTACATGGGCAATCACTTAACAAAACACTCACTTTAACAAACATTGTTGAACGTAAGCGTAAAAGATGTAGATAAGATATTTCTGAGACCTAAAACTATACTTATCGCTTGGTATTATGTAAGAAAAAAACAAAAGAATGTATAATAATGACGAGTGTTAAAAGTTTAGCTACAAATAAAGGTTTAGTTGAAAAGTTTGTGCCTTTCATACTTATCAGTTGCCGGTGTCAAGTCCAGCATAATGCGATAGCAGAAAAGCTGTGTCATAAAAATATGTAGACACGTCATTTTGACGTCATGCAAGGGAAGCTTTGTGACGCATGTTTCCTGACACATGGACGGACTAAAAATAAATTTAAATACCTTTAAAGGCGAAGTCAATATAAAACGACATTAACACATGCTGAATTAGAACTATTGCAAATAAATCATAGCCTACCTCAAGGTGGCATCAAATATACGCTTTATAATAATATTCTATTTTGTAAGAAAACAAATAATAAATATAATTTTTTATGACTTCATAATTAACAAAGGGATATTTTTATTACTTCTATTAATTATGTAAGTCAATTATATAAATAATGCGGCACAATTTATCTCAACGAATGTTCTAATGAAAGCTATACACGATATCCTTATACAGTAACTTACTCAATTTGAAAGAGCTCACTGTACCAATTTAGTATATAATCTTATTGTCAAAATGGTTTTAAAGGTTCTAATAAAGTATTAGAATTTGAAACTAAGAACAAATAGTTGTAATTTTTTATTATTCTGTATCCTCACATGACGTAAAGACAACTGAATCATGTTTCGCTTTTAAAGGACATCTCCTTTTCACTTCATGACTAAATATAATAGGAATTTTATGAATAAAAACCACTATTACTCAGGATATTCTCCAGAAATCAGAAAAAATTGTACCGAACATGGTTTTGTTTTGATTCAATTAATAATAAACATGTATACAATACATTGTTCTAAGGCTACAAATTTTTGTGTTGTTTTTAATAATCCAGTAAGGGATAAATCTTACTCACATATTGAGTCATAGGGTCACGCAATAGTTGATGATTAATTCAATGAGTTATTGTTTTATTTGTTGTGTTGTATGAATGAAGTGGCTTATAAAAATTCTAAACGCAGCCCCGATTGTTTTCGAATTGTTCAATCACTAATTGAATGATTAATTGTTTTAATAATTCATAACGCTATCCTCATATTAAAAACGGGTTAGTAAATAAAGAATATAATATTATTTTATAATATAAGTAACATAGCAAAACTTGAGTTTTTCTATGTTTTCAAGATACTGCAACTTTGTTTTATAATAAATACTTTTTTCTATTTATATTTCGTGTTGCAATATTAAGCATCAGAATTTTGTATTCCGTTATTTTTCTCAGGTTTACAGTTTACTGGGCCAGAGGGTGATACTCGTATATACTCCTTTTACAGGCTCGGTGTCTTAACTACGGGAAGGCTTTTCTCATCTTACGTATTACTTTCACATCTAAGATACCATACTTGCTAGATGAATATGGCACACAAAGTATCACTCACCGTGCAATTTTAAGACGTATATGGGGCAATTATCTCTACGCTACAAAATCTCTAAGGATAAAATTGGCACGGAAAAAATTTCACCCGTGCAGTATCTAAGATTGTAGATTAATAAAGCTGAAGTTCTATTTTAGAAAATGCATTACATATAATCTTAACTTTATTTCATCTTGA